TACCTATGATGAAAATTACTGACCTCTGTCATCATTTTAAGTGGGAGAACTTGCACAATCGGTGGCTGACTAAATACTTTTTTGCCCCACTGTATACATACCATCCTAGAAAAATGTTTGCCCCTCTTCTGCCTCCCCATAAATAATTTTGTAGATCCGCCCCTGCTCACACTGTTTACAGTGAGGATGGGGAGCTGCTGACGTCAACTGGGGCTATAGTCAGACAGTGGAAGGAATACTTCGAGGAGCTCCTCAATCCCACCGACACGCATTTCGAGGAGGAACCAGAGCCGGGAGAACTGGGGATGGACTGTCCGATCTCTGGGTAAGAAGTCGCTGAGGTAGTCAAACATCTACACAGCTGCGGACCCCCAGGGGTGGATGAGATTCGTCCTGGGTATCTCAAGGCTATGGATGTGGTAGGGCTGTCGTGGTTGACACGTCTCTGCAACATTGCATGGTCATTGGGGCAGTTCCTGTGGAGTGGCAGACCGGGGTGGTGGTCCCCATCTTTAAAAAGAGGGACCAGAATGTGTGTTCCAACTATAGGGGGATCACACTTCTCAGCCTCCCTGGAAAGGTCTACTCCAAGGTACTGGAGAGGAGGGTCTGGTCGATAGTTGAACCTCAGATAGAGGAGGAGCAATGTGGTTTTCGTCCTGGCCGTGGAACTGTGGACCAGCTCTGTACCCTTGCAAGGGTGATGGAGGGGGCATGGGAGTTTGCCCAACCAATCCACATGTGCTTTGTGGATTTGGAGAAGGCTTATGACCGTGTCCCCGGGGGAACCCTGTGGGGGACGCTCCAGGAGTATGGGGTGGGTGGCTTTCTGTTAAGGGCCATTCAGTCCCTTTACCAGAGGAGCATGAGTTTGGTCCGCATAGCCGGTAGGAAGTCGGACCTGTTCCCAGTGAGGGTTGGACTCCGCCAGGGCTGCTCTTTGTCACCGGTTCAGTTCATTACCTTTATGGACAGAATTTCTAGACGCAGCCGTGGTGTGGAGTGTGTCGAGTTTGGTGGCAGGAGAATCTCGTCTCTGCTTTTTGCGGATGATGTGGTCCTCCTAGCTTCATCAGGCTCTGACCTTCAGCTCTTGCTGGGGAGGTTTGCAGCCGAGTGTGAAGCGGCTGGGAGGAGGATCAGCACCTCCAAGTCTGAGACCATGATTCTCCACAGGAAAAGGTCAGCATGCCAACTCCGGGTCGGGAGAGAAGTCCTACCTCAAGTGGAGGAGTCCAAGCATCTCGGGGTCTTGTTCACGAGTGAGGAAAGGAGGGAGTAGAAGATCAACAGGCCGATTGGGGCAGCGTCTGCAGTGATGCAGACACTAAACTTTTCTGTTGTGGTGATAAAGGAGCTGAGCCGGAAAGCATGGCTCTCGATTTACCAGTCGATCTGCTGCCAAATCCTCACCTATGGCTTTGGGTAATGACCAAAAAAACAAGATCGCGGATACAAGTGGCTGAAATGTGTTTTCTCCACGGGGTGGCTGGGCTCAGCCTTAGGGATAGGGTCGGACATTCGGATATTTGAATCGGACATACAGGAGGGATTTGGAATGGAGCCACTGCTACTACATATCGTGAGGAGTCAGTTGAGGTAATTTGGGCATCTAGGATGCCTCCTGGACCCCGGGGAGAAGTTTTAGGCATGTCCTGCTGGCAGGAGGCCCCCTAGTCGACCCAGGACACGTTAGAGAAAGTACATCTCTGAACTGGCCCAGGAACACCTCTGGGTCCTGCTGGAGGAACTGGTGGAGGTGGCTGAGGAGAGGATGTCTGGAACTCCCTAGTTGGGATGCTGCCCCTGCAACCCGGACCCGGATAGGCGGAAGAAGATGAGACGATATGAGCTCTATCAAATAAAATTCCATCTCAGGAACGTTGCTAAGCTGAGTCCCATTCTGTCCCGCTCTGAACTTGAGACAGTTCTCCACACCTTCATCTCCTCACGCTTAGACTACTGTAACTCTCTTTTCACGTGTCTGAGCAGAACCTCCCTGAACCGTCTACAGGTGGTTCAGAACGCCTGTGCTCGGCTTCTGACCAAGTCCTCCAAACACACCCACATCACCCCGCTTCTCCTCCAGCTTCACTGGCTGCCAGTCAACTTCAGGGTTCATTCCAAGATCCTGGTTCTGGTCTATAGGGCCTTACATGGACAAGCACCATCTTACATTGGTGATCTTCTTAGTCCCTACACCCCCAGCAGGTCCCTGAGGTCCAGTCACCACAGCCTACTGGTTGTGCAGCACCAGGCTAAAGGTCAAAGGTGACAGATCATCTGCTGCTGTGGCCCCCAGACTCTGGACCTCTCTCCCCCTGAGCCTGAGATCAGTGGACTCAGTGGTCTCCTTTAAAAAGCAGCTGAAGACTCACTTGTTCAAGCTGGCTTTTGTATGACCTTCTTCAATCAATCAATCAAAGCTTTATTTATAAAGCGCCTTCCGCAACCCTGTCAGGAAGCCCAAGGCGCTTCACCACTCTCTCTTTATTCTGCTCTCCCCACCTATTCCACCTTCCTCAGGATCCACTGATTTCCCTCTTTCCTGTTCACTCTCTCTCTTTACATTTTTAATCACAATTGTCTATTTTTGCTCATTTTAAATATATTTTTAACCATTTTCTTCTTCTATCTGTGACAAGACTACCTATCTCTAGTGTACCTGTGTTTGGACTACTTGTCTAGTGTACCTGTCTGTAGCTATCTGTCTCTAGTGTACCTCTGTGAAGACTACTTATCTGTGGGTGGCATTTTGACAACAGAGGTGCCTATTGGGGCCAGTAGGGGAGCTGGCTCCTTGGAGGGCTAAGCCCAACCAGCCATTCCTCCCCATCCCCGCATATTTCTCTCCTCCTGCTCCCTCACATCATCAGACAATCATGCACATAGGACCTTGGGGGGTGGACAAGTCAGGGAGTGCGGGTATGGATCCCATTTCCACATTCCTGTGGCAACCTGCCCCCCAATTTTATTTGCACCTTATACACTTCCACTGACGACATTCCACGCAAACACACACTTAGGGCCTTGGGAGTGAGCACATTCAACGGCATTTGGCAGGGGGATATTTCAGCCTCATCCCGGGTGCCCACTTCCAATTTTAAACCGCACTTAGACACCGAGGGCTGAGGGTGAAAGGGGGCTGGTGTGGTGGCATCAGCTGGCATAGGCTAGACGATGCCCGCTCTGCCCGCTCACCACAGCCATGGAATACACCTCATCAACACACACTAACACCATATTTGAGCAGGCGGAGGGGTCTTTGCCACCTCTGTTGTTGCTTGGCCTCCTGGGGCTGGAGGCTAGGAGGGAGATCTGGCCGTCTGGTTGGGGTCTGGGGTGGTGGGTTGCTGTGCTCAGCGTTGGGCGGGGGAGCCTGCTCATCAGCACCCCAGCAGAAATGGTCGAACTCTGGCAACGGGTAATCATTGTACCCAATGTGCAGCAGTACCGGGACCAGAGTGAATAGGGTGTGTATGGGGAGCATGAGTGGGTGTCCGGCGTGCATTTTTGTAAGTCTTGGGTTGTATGTGCATGTGTGAGCATGAGGGAGGGAGTGTGTGACTGTGTTTGTGTATGACTGTATATGTCAGGTGGGGCCTTTGACTCCTCCCCTCTCCTGGGACTTCTTTTGATGATAAACATCTTCGTCTCCCCTCTCCCTGCCACACCTGGTGTGGGGTGTCGTGCCTTGGTCTGCCTGAGTGTTCGTGGCTCCCGGGTCAGGGGGTTTAAGATTTTTAGCGTCTGCCTGATCAATCCCGGGGGCTGTCTGGTGGGGTCTGGGTCTCTGGGTCCCCGGCAGGGGTGGTCGCCCCTGGGTCCCCGGTCACTGGGTTCCGGGCTCGGCCGGCTAGGGGGTGGGAGGCAGTGGGCGGGCCTGTGGGCTTGCCGCTGATATCCCCTGGGACTCTGTTGGCTGCTGGTTGTGGCCCCTGGGGCGATCCTCTGCGCCTCTCGAGGGGGGCGGGGGGCCTTTCTGGTTGCAGTCCCCTTGGGGTCCCTGTATTCTGGGGCAGCGCCTGGATCTCTGGGACTTGGAGCTCCCTCCGTCTCCTACGTGTCTTTAGGGGGCAGGTCTCTGGCCCCTCACACTCTCTGTTGGACGCTCCTATAGAGAAACCTTACATAAACAAGTGCGTGTACACACACAGGTGCTCACGTGGTGCTCTCATAAGTATGGGCTTGGGCACGTTCAACACATGTCTTAAGGATATGGTGGGCACTTAATGCACTGTGATTTATTATCGTGTGATTGTTCAGTTAAACAATGTTGATTTTATATTTCATCATCAGGCTGACGCGGTGATAGCTTGCTCCTGATGTATTGTTGTGTGTCCCATTTTTCTATTCTTTCTCTTTCTGCAGGTCTAGAAGCAGACTCTTGTTCATTATTGTTTTTGTGCCCCCCCCCCCCCCCCCCCTTCCCCCCTCTCTCCCCAGCTTTTGTCTTTTCCTTTCTCTTTCACTTCTGACTCCGTGTCTGGTCGGAATTACAAAGCATTCAACAACAACAACAATAAAGTTTTAAGTATCAGGCGTGACATTAAAAGCAGACGCTTTGATGCTCCACCTGAGAGTAAATCTGTAAGGCTTGTTACCAGCATTCAGACATCAATTCTGCTTGCTTCACAGCCAGACAGGACACGGGGAAGAAATAAAGGACTACTTATCTCTAGTGTACCTGTCTGTCGGCTACCGGTCTCTAATCCATAACAGACCCATGTAAAGACATTAGAGACCACCACTGAGATGGAACACAAGACCAGCCAGAATGAGGATTGCTGTAAAGACTCTGACACTAGTCAGTGACTCGATGCAACCTGCTGGGTTCCTTATATAGGAAACTTGTTACTGATTGGCTTCATGACCTGACCTGTGTTGGAATGTTTACCGTGTGCAGGTCCTCGAAACGGCTCTTGTTGTGATTTGGCGCTTTATAAATAAACTTGAATTAAATTAAATAGAATTCATAACAAAAAATGTTCAGACACAAGTAGAGAAAATATTTCATGTTTATTTTGTATAAAAGTGTCAGGACGTCCAGCAGGTGTCTGATAGGATCCTCATGGTCACATGACGGTGTTCTACACTGAAAGCAGAACTGGTTCTTTTGGGTCCAGACCCAACCTAAAGGACCAGTCTGCTGTTTCACACCATGGAAGGAAAAACGTCTCATAGAACTGTTCCTCCTGACCCAGAACCCTTTCAGGTCTTCACCAGGAACAGTTTTATTCTGAAAGTCTGACAGGAAGCTGTGGGTTAGCTTACAGGAAGCTGGACCTGTTACTTCATTTCTTTAGTCAAACATCTGGTTTATGGCTTTAGAGACGACCGCTATCAGAGCTCCATAAATATCTATAAATACCCCCCCCCCCCACTTCCTGTCTGGGGTCAAACAGCAGAATGTCCTTTAAATCAGAGACAGGCAGCTGGACGGCTGACAGGAAGTAGCATTAAAACATCAAAGGCTGATCAGGGATCAGCTTCACAGAGAAAGTTAAAACAGCAGATATTCAGGTCTTCCTGTCCTTCTGTCGTTGTGGGGACAACGGGAGCTTTACATCAGTACAGCAGGGTCGGGTCTGAGCAGAGGGGACAGGTCTGAGGAGAGGGGACAGGTCTGAGCAGAGGGGACAGGTCTGAGGAGAGGGGACAGGTCTGAGCAGAGGGGACAGGTCTGAGCAGAGGGGACAGGTCTGAGCAGAGGGGACAGGTCTGAGCAGAGGGGACAGGTCTGATGAGTGGGGACATGTCTGAGCAGTGGGGACATGTCTGAGGAGTGGGGACAGGTCTGAGCAGTGGGGACATGTCTGAGCAGAGGGGACAGGTCTGAGCAGAGGGGACAGGTCTGAGGTGTGTGGACAGGTCTGAGCAGAGGGGACAGGTCTGAGCAGAGGGGACAGGTCTGAGCAGAGGGGACAGGTCTGAGGAGAGGGGACAGGTCTGAGGTGTGTGGACATGTCTGAGCAGAGGGGACAGGTCTGAGGAGAGGGGACAGGTCTGAGCAGAGGGGACAGGTCTGAGGAGAGGGGACAGGTCTGAGCAGAGGGGACAGGTCTGAGCAGAGGGGACAGGTCTGAGGTGTGTGGACATGTCTGAGGAGTGGGGACAGGTCTGAGGAGTGGGGACAGGTCTGAGCAGAGGGGACAGGTCTGAGGATTGGGGACAGGTCTGAGCAGAGGGGACAGGTCTGAGGATTGGGGACAGGTCAGAGGTGTGTGGACATGTCTGAGCAGAGGGGACAGGTCTGAGCAGAGGGGACAGGTCTGATGAGTGGGGACATGTCTGAGGAGTGGGGAAATGTCTGAGGAGTGGGGACATGTCTGAGGAGTGGGGACATGTCTGAGGAGTGGGGACAGGTCTGAGCAGAGGGGACAGGTCTGAGCAGAGGGGACAGGTCTGATGAGTGGGGACATGTCTGAGGAGTGGGGACATGTCTGAGGAGTGGGGACATGTCTGAGGAGTGGGGACAGGTCTGATGAGTGGGGACATGTCTGAGCAGTGGGGACATGTCTGAGGAGTGGGGACAGGTCTGAGCAGTGGGGACATGTCTGAGCAGAGGGGACAGGTCTGAGCAGAGGGGACAGGTCTGAGCAGAGGGGACAGGTCTGAGCAGAGGGGACAGGTCTGAGCAGAGGGGACAGGTCTGAGGAGAGGGGACAGGTCTGAGGTGTGTGGACATGTCTGAGCAGAGGGGACAGGTCTGAGGAGAGGGGACAGGTCTGAGCAGAGGGGACAGGTCTGAGGAGAGGGGACAGGTCTGAGCAGAGGGGACAGGTCTGAGCAGAGGGGACAGGTCTGAGGTGTGTGGACATGTCTGAGGAGTGGGGACAGGTCTGAGGAGTGGGGACAGGTCTGAGCAGAGGGGACAGGTCTGAGGATTGGGGACAGGTCTGAGCAGAGGGGACAGGTCTGAGGATTGGGGACAGGTCAGAGGTGTGTGGACATGTCTGAGCAGAGGGGACAGGTCTGAGGATTGGGGACAGGTCTGAGCAGAGGGGACAGGTCTGAGCAGAGGGGACAGGTCTGAGCAGAGGGGACAGGTCTGATGAGTGGGGACATGTCTGAGGAGTGGGGAAATGTCTGAGGAGTGGGGACATGTCTGAGGAGTGGGGACATGTCTGAGGAGTGGGGACAGGTCTGAGCAGAGGGGACAGGTCTGAGCAGAGGGGACAGGTCTGATGAGTGGGGACAGGTCTGAGGAGTGGGGACATGTCTGAGGAGTGGGGACATGTCTGAGGAGTGGGGACATGTCTGAGGAGTGGGGACATGTCTGAGGAGTGGGGACATGTCTGAGGAGTGGGGACATGTCTGAGGAGTGGGGACAGGTCTGAGCAGAGGGGACAGGTCTGATGAGTGGGGACAGGTCTGAGCAGAGGGGACATGTCTGATGAGTGGGGACAGGTCTGAGCAGAGGGGACATGTCTGAGGAGTGGGGACATGTCTGAGGAGTGGGGACAGGTCTGAGCAGTGGGGACATGTCTGAGGAGTGGGGACAGGTCTGAGCAGAGGGGACAGGTCTGAGCAGAGGGGACAGGTCTGATGAGTGGGGACATGTCTGAGGAGTGGGGACATGTCTGAGGAGTGGGGACATGTCTGAGGAGTGGGGACATGTCTGAGGAGTGGGGACATGTCTGAGGAGTGGGGACATGTCTGAGGAGTGGGGACAGGTCTGAGCAGAGGGGACAGGTCTGATGAGTGGGGACAGGTCTGAGCAGAGGGGACATGTCTGAGGAGTGGGGACAGGTCTGAGCAGAGGGGACAGGTCTGAGCAGAGGGGACAGGTCTGAGCAGTGGGGACATGTCTGAGGAGTGGGGACATGTCTGAGGAGTGGGGACAGTGTTTTTATCTAACATGTCTGTTCCCGGTCCAAAGCTACTTGTGTCTCTGTCGCTTCCTCTTAACCAGATGATGTCATCGTAGATGAGAAGGACTCATCTGGTTAAATAAGGTTAAAAAGCTCATTATTTATTCCAAAGTTTATAAACAGGCAGCAGGTAAACAAAAGGCCCCACATAGACAGAAAAACGTGTGTGTGTGTGTGTGTTGGGGTCCTGAAGGCAGGCTTGGCTCTGGGGTCAGAGGTCATCACATGCCCTGTCGGATGCTCTGGATGATTTGAAAGATGGCTGCAACAGAAGGAGGAGGCAGGTCAACAGCAGGTCACATGGCACCTGAGGAATCACTTCCTGGTCTGTAAAGGAACACGATTCCTGTCTCATCTGGGGTCATCTGTGTCTCTGCATGGCTGTAACCGTGGTAACGGTACCAGCTCGTCGTTAAGATGTGACCAGCAGAAACCTTCTAGACCCAGAACCTGTAGAACACCTGAGCATGAGGCCGGACTCACCTGATCCACAAACCACAAAGACGAAGAGCGCCAGCAGCCACGGCCCCACCGGAGACTTGTCCTCGTTAACAGGTCTCTGCAACACAAACAGGTCCATGAGCTCTAGTCCCACTGACCCCAGCCCAACCCAGAACCTGGACACGGTCTTCATATCTAGAACCAAAGCAGGTGTCTGCTTCTTCTGGGATTTACCCTTACATTTCAGATCACCATGGAAACAGAGACATGTCCTAGACCAGGTGGTCCACCACTGCCACACCTGGCTTAAATGAGTGAGTGATTAGCAGGCTGCTGCAGCACTTCCTGTCCTGCTTAGGAGGTACAGCAGGTAAGTCTACCAGGTGTGCAGCAGCGGGGACATGAGGACCTAGATGGAGCCGATACCTTCACCAGACTGGGTCCTAGTTTCCGTGTAGGTTAGAAAACAGAACTCTCAAACGAAGTTTGTTCCACCCCGCTACAGTAGGTGGCGACACGCGCTCTTTCATGTCAGCATTCCTTCTCTTAGCTTACCCACCTTGTTCTTGGCTCATGTTGATGCTAGCAACGTCCAGGGAGATACCAGGACTAGCACATACCCTCTGGTTAGCATGGTTTCGTTACTATTAGCCGTTTTTGATCATTTGAGTAGGATTTAAAATATTTACCCCTGAACAACGTACTCACACTACTCAGGAAGACGCTGTGCTGATTCCAGTTGTACAAAATCTGACAGCAGTCTGACCAGAACATCAACAGGCTGTAGCGACGCGCTGATGATAGGGATGGGTACCGTATTCGGCACTGACCAAATTCTGTGGTACCAACCAAAGACCGACTCACGTGACATGAAACAGTGCCTTGTTCCGGTACCTTACACACTAGCATTCGGTACCTGGTTTCCCAAGATGGACAGCAGTACATGCCCAAGAGCGTTATGTCGTCAGTCGCTGTAAACAGAGGCAGCAGTATGATAGGAGCGCCTCTAAAGGTTGGGTCTACTTCACTCAACGAGATGGGTGACTGGGTGATGACCTTGTGCTAGCTGAGGATTTTAATCCACACAGGTGTTCCAGATGTGCTAGCTGAGGATTTTAATCTACACAGGTGTTCCAGGTGTGCTAGCTGAGGATTTTAATCCACACAGGTGTTCCAGGTGTGCTAGCTGAGGATTTTAATCCACACAGGTGTTCCAGGTGTGCTAGCTGAGGATTTTAATCCACACAGGTGTTCCAGGTGTGCTAGCTGAGGATTTTAATCCACACAGGTGTTCCAGGTGTGCTAGCTGAGGATTTTAATCCACACAGGTGTTCCAGGTGTGCTAGCTGAGGATTTTAATCCACACAGGTGTTCCAGGTGTGCTAGCTGAGGATTTTAATCCACACAGGTGTTCCAGATGTGCTAGGTGAGGATTTTAATCTACACAGGTGTTCCAGGTGTACTAGCTGAGGATTTTAATCCACACAGGTGTTCCAGGTGTGCTAGCTGAGGATTTTAATCCACACAGGTGTTCCAGATGTGCTAGCTGAGGATTTTAATCTACACAGGTGTTCCAGGTGTACTAGCTGAGGATTTTAATCCACACAGGTGTTCCAGATGTGCTAGCTGAGGATTTTAATCCACACAGGTGTTCCAGGTGTGCTAGCTGAGGATTTTAATCCACACAGGTGTTCCAGGTGTGCTAGCTGAGGATTTTAATCCACACAGGTGTTCCAGATGTGCTAGGTGAGGATTTTAATCTACACAGGTGTTCCAGGTGTACTAGCTGAGGATTTTAATCCACACAGGTGTTCCAGGTGTGCTAGCTGAGGATTTTAATCCACACAGGTGTTCCAGGTGTGCTAGCTGAGGATTTTAATCCACACAGGTGTTCCAGATGTGCTAGCTGAGGATTTTAATCCACACAGGTGTTCCAGGTGTGCTAGCTGAGGATTTTAATCCACACAGGTGTTCCAGGTGTGCTAGCTGAGGATTTTAATCCACACAGGTGTTCCAGATGTGCTAGCTGAGGATTTTAATCCACACAGGTGTTCCAGGTGTGCTATCTGAGGATTTTAATCTACACAGGTGTTCCAGGTGTGCTGAGGATTTTAATCCACACAGGTGTTCCAGGTGTGCTAGCTGAGGATTTTAATCCACACAGGTGTTCCAGGTGTGCTAGCTGAGGATTTTAATCCACACAGGTGTTCCAGGTGTGCTAGCTGAGGATTTTAATCTACACAGGTGTTCCAGATGTGCTAGGTGAGGATTTTAATCTACACAGGTGTTCCAGGTGTGCTATCTGAGGATTTTAATCCACACAGGTGTTCCAGGTGTGCTAGCTGAGGATTTCAATCCACACAGGTGTTCCAGGTGTGCTAGCTGATGATTTTAATCTACACAGGTGTTCCAGGTGTGCTAGCTGAGGATTTTAATCTACACAGGTGTTCCAGGTGTGCTAGCTGAGGATTTTAATCTACACAGGTGTTCCAGGTGTGCTAGCTGAGGATTTTAATCCACACAGGTGTTCCAGGTGTGCTAGCTGAGGATTTTAATCCACACAGGTGTTCCAGGTGTGCTATCTGAGGATTTTAATCCACACAGGTGTTCCAGGTGTGCTAGCTGAGGATTTTAATCCACACAGGTGTTCCAGGTGTGCTAGCTGAGGATTTTAATCTACACAGGTGTTCCAGATGTGCTAGGTGAGGATTTTAATCTACACAGGTGTTCCAGGTGTGCTAGCTGAGGATTTTAATCCACACAGGTGTTCCAGGTGTGCTAGCTGAGGATTTCAATCCACACAGGTGTTCCAGGTGTGCTAGCTGATGATTTTAATCTACACAGGTGTTCCAGGTGTGCTAGCTGAGGATTTTAATCCACACAGGTGTTCCAGATGTGCTAGGTGAGGATTTTAATCCACACAGGTGTTCCAGGTGTCCTAGCTGAGGATTTTAATCTACACAGGTGTTCCAGATGTGCTATCTGAGGATTTTAATCTACACAGGTGTTCCAGATGTGCTAGCTGAGGATTTTAATCTACACAGGTGTTCCAGATGTGCTAGCTGAGGATTTTAATCTACACAGGTGTTCCAGATGTGCTAGCTGAGGATTTTAATCTACACAGGTGTTCCAGATGTGCTAGGTGAGGATTTAAAACCTTCACAGGTGTTCCAGATGTGCTAGCTGAGGATTTTAATCTACACAGGTGTTCCAGGTGTGCTAGCTGAGGATTTTAATCCACACAGGTGTTCCAGGTGTGCTAGCTGAGGATTTTAATCTACACAGGTGTTCCAGGTGTGCTAGCTGAGGATTTCAATCCACACAGGTGTTCCAGGTGTGCTAGCTGATGATTTTAATCCACACAGGTGTTCCAGGTGTGCTAGCTGAGGATTTTAATCTACACAGGTGTTCCAGGTGTGCTAGCTGAGGATTTTAATCTACACAGGTGTTCCAGATGTGCTAGGTGAGGATTTTAATCTACACAGGTGTTCCAGGTGTGCTAGCTGAGGATTTTAATCCACACAGGTGTTCCAGGTGTGCTAGCTGAGGATTTTAATCCACACAGGTGTTCCAGGTGTGCTATCTGAGGATTTCAATCCACACAGGTGTTCCAGGTGTGCTAGCTGATGATTTTAATCTACACAGGTGTTCCAGGTGTGCTAGCTGAGGATTTTAATCCACACAGGTGTTCCAGATGTGCTAGGTGAGGATTTTAATCCACACAGGTGTTCCAGGTGTGCTAGCTGAGGATTTTAATCTACACAGGTGTTCCAGATGTGCTAGCTGAGGATTTTAATCTACACAGGTGTTCCAGATGTGCTAGCTGAGGATTTTAATCTACACAGGTGTTCCAGATGTGCTATCTGAGGATTTTAATCTACACAGGTGTTCCAGATGTGCTAGCTGAGGATTTTAATCTACACAGGTGTTCCAGATGTGCTAGGTGAGGATTTAAAACCTTCACAGGTGTTCCAGATGTGCTAGCTGAGGATTTTAATCTACACAGGTGTTCCAGGTGTGCTATCTGAGGATTTTAATCTACACAGGTGTTCCAGGTGTGCTATCTGAGGATTTTAATCTACACAGGTGTTCCAGATGTGCTAGCTGAGGATTTTAATCTACACAGGTGTTCCAGATGTGCTAGGTGAGGATTTAAAACCTTCACAGGTGTTCCAGATGTGCTAGCTGAGGATTTTAATCCACACAGGTGTTCCAGGTGTGCTAGCTGAGGATTTTAATCTACACAGGTGTTCCAGGTGTGCTAGCTGAGGATTTCAATCCACACAGGTGTTCCAGGTGTGCTAGCTGATGATTTTAATCTACACAGGTGTTCCAGGTGTGCTAGCTGAGGATTTTAATCTACACAGGTGTTCCAGATGTGCTAGGTGAGGATTTTAATCCACACAGGTGTTCCAGATGTGCTAGCTGAGGATTTTAATCCACACAGGTGTTCCAGGTGTGCTAGCTGAGGATTTTAAACCTTCACAGGTGTTCCAGATGTGCTAGCTGAGGATTTTAATCTACACAGGTGTTCCAGGTGTGCTATCTGAGGATTTTAATCTACACAGGTGTTCCAGGTGTGCTATCTGAGGATTTTAATCTACACAGGTGTTCCAGATGTGCTAGCTGAGGATTTTAATCTACACAGGTGTTCCAGATGTGCTAGGTGAGGATTTAAAACCTTCACAGGTGTTCCAGATGTGCTAGCTGAGGATTTTAATCCACACAGGTGTTCCAGGTGTGCTAGCTGAGGATTTTAATCCACACAGGTGTTCCAGATGTGCTAGGTGAGGATTTTAATCCACACAGGTGTTCCAGATGTGCTAGCTGAGGATTTTAATCCACACAGGTGTTCCAGGTGTGCTAGCTGAGGATTTTAATCCACACAGGTGTTCCAGATGTGCTAGGTGAGGATTTTAATCCACACAGGTGTTCCAGATGTGCTAGCTGAGGATTTTAATCCACACAGGTGTTCCAGGTGTGCTAGCTGAGGATTTTAATCCACACAGGTGTTCCAGATGTGCTAGGTGAGGATTTTAATCCACACAGGTGTTCCAGATGTGCTAGCTGAGGATTTTGATCTACACAGGTGTTCCAGGTGTGCTAGCTGAGGATTTTAATCCACACAGGTGTTCCAGATGTGCTAGCTGAGGATTTTAATCCACACAGGTGTTCCAGGTGTGCTAGCTGAGGATTTTGATCTACACAGGTGTTCCAGGTGTGCTATCTGAGGATTTTAATCTACACAGGTGTTCCAGATGTGCTAGCTGAGGATTTTAATCCACACAGGTGTTCCAGGTGTGCTAGCTGAGGAGCAGCTGGTGTTCTGACTCCTGCAGGTAGCTACTCTGTTACAGATATTTGGGATTAGGTCTGTGACACCTTCGCAGCTTAAACCGAGACTTTGGGTTCTACCTGACTCGGTACCGGGCCAGGGTAAGTTAGCCCTACCTCTTTCAGAACCAGAGCCGAACACAAGCCGGCTCGTGGCTCTCTCGGATAAAGAACAACAAAGCTGTTCTGCAGGTGCGGTGTTCCGTAAACAGCAGTGAACACATGAAACCATCGTCTTCCTGCTGGAGTCTGGTTAGCTGGTGGGTGTTAGCCACACGGCTAACGACGTCAGCCCTTCCTGTTCCGTCTCCGGCCCGTTTAATAAGAACCAGAACCTACCGATGTCTTCTGGACGTGTCCCCGCTGTGTGATCGTCTTGCTGTGCCGTTCGTTCGCCACCTTCATCCGCTGCACCGCCGACATGTTCCCGGTGAACAACAGCCCGGACCTGAGGAAACGGGGAACTGGATCAAGCTGCTACCGAACAACCCGTCTGATATGAAGTCTCCAGTCCTGTTTCCGCTCCGCTCGGTACCGTCCAGCAAGGCTAACCGTTAGCTGCTAGCTCAGAAGCTGCCTGCCCCCGTCACGTGACACAGGACAGTTGACTTGTCTGTCGCCCCCAGGCGGCGGGAAACATTACAACATCACGCGATGAAATACTGATAAACCCAACGAAGATAAATCTAATACTGATAACTTAAGACCTGTTAGGTTGCTGAATGTGGACTATAAATTATTCACTCTGGCTAACAGATGAAGAAATGGAATAAATGATTTCATTAGTGAAACTCAATCAGGTTTTCTTCCAAACAGACATATTCATGACAACATCCGTCTGATTCTTGATTTATTAGATTATAAAAATTTGGTAGAAGAGGATGGGGCTATACTGTTCTTAGATTTTTTTAAAGCTTTTGATAATCTCGAACATCATTTTATTATAAAGTCACTTCAGCACTTTGGATTTGGTAAAAATTCATTGATGTTAATACATTCCTATACAAAGATTTATCGAGTGCAGTTCTTCTTCCTTCGGGTACGACAACCAGATTTCCAGTTAATAGAGGAGTTAGACAAGGAGATCCCATTAGTCCACTTCTTTTTACTATAGCAACAGAAATGCTGACTTTACTAATTCAAAATGACCAAACAAATAAACTGTTAACAGTGGCAGGACACTGGCTTAAAATAATTCAGCTAGCAGATGATACTGCATTATTGTTGAATAGTACCAAGGAAATTCCTAATGCCATGAAAACGCTGTCTTTGTTCTCACAAGCCTCAGGTTTAAGGTTGAACGCTAACAAATGTGAAATATTAACAATTCATGATACTGAGGAGTTTCATATTTCGATATCCCTATTAAGAATGAAATTAAGTATTTGGGTATGAAGATTAATAAAATCTTTAAGGAGAGAGTGGATAACAATATCCAACCGATAATTAATAAAAATCAAAAGATTCTAAATAGTTGGCTCCATAGAAATATATCAAGTTTTGGTAGAATACTTTTAACAAAAATGGAGAGTATATCTAGATTAATCTATCCTGCTATTTCAGTAGCTATCCCTGACCAATATGTTAAGAGAATAAATAAAACACAATATGACTTTATTTGGAATAATAAACAACATTTGATTAGGAAAAACGATCTAGTAAAACCTATAGAAGAAGGAGGTCTGAATGTCATGGACTTTGAAGTAATGAATGGAGTTATTAAATTACAATGGCTAAAAAAATTTTAATTAAGAAAGACTATCTGGTTCTGTGTTCCTTCATTTCTGTTTGAGAAGATTGGAGGTATAGATTTTCTGTTAAAATGTGATTTTGATCCTCTTAAATTACCCATCAGACTTTCTAACTATATTAAACAAGTGTTGATGTACTGGAAAATGATCTACTCGCACAACTTTAGCCCACATTCCTCCTCTATATGGAATAACAGATGTGTTCTGTATAAACGGAAATCCATGTATTATAAAAGTTGGATGGATAAAGGAGTTTGGGCCATAATGCAGCTGAAGGACAGTACGGGTAAGTTTCTGGAGCATACCGAGTTCAGAATTAAGTATAATCTAGACTGTTCTGTACTGGAATACTCTAGAGGTATAAAGGCTATCTCTCCAGCTGAGGGCCAGATGGTCAAAGTATTCAACATGGAACAAGTACACCTAAATTATCTATAGGTGATTTGACTTTTACAGACCGTAGATGTAATAACTCTTACCTAAGAGCAGTCTTGTCAGACAAGTTATTCCCGATTCCTGTCAGAAGGGAAGTTCTTTCTCCGATTTTCTCAATTAAAGACACCAAAGTCATAAGAACAGAGTTTCTCTCTTATCCTCTTCTCCCAAAAATGAAGGAAGTTCACTTTAAAACGATTAATAATATATATCCATGTGAAGAGTTGTTAAATATCAGATTTAATATACAAGATAATTTATGTGTCCTATGTAATAGTGAAACACCTTTTCTATGATTGCAAATCGGTAAATACATCTTGGTCAGATTTATACAATCGGCTTTTATTCAAAAACACTTACAATACCCCCTTATTCACATATAATACTATTCAAGATGGGTGTATAGAAAAAAAAATCAGATTCAATTCGTTGTAAATAATTTGATAATTTTTGGGAAATTTTTGATTCACAAATGCCGTTTTATGAAAGTGAATCCAAACTTTCCTTTTTTCCAAAACCATTTTATGCTTTTTTGCAAATCTCTTAAAAAGGTAACGACTCTACAGGCTGAAGATCCTGTGAACTAAGGTCCTCTGTCTTTAAATATGTATTATTATTATTATTATTATTATTATTGTGTTATTATTAGTAGTATTAATAATATTTTATTTATTTTTATTATTTTGTTTGTTTTTTATCGTGTCTTGTTAATAAGTCCGGTTGTTTCTGCTGATTAGAATATTTCTAATGGTCTAGTTATAAGGTTTTGGTTTATCTACTGAGTTTGTGTGTGTGTGTGTGTGTGTGTGTGTGTGTGTGTGTGTGTGTGTGTGTGTGTGTGTGTGTGTTTTGGTTGTTACAATGTAATATGATTGATGTTGACTAATAAAAAAAACTGCTTTAAAAATAAATAAATAAAACATCACACGATCTGAAAGGGGGAGGGCAGTGACGTCAGCATGATGTCATAAAACAGCCGGAAGCGACACCCTTAAACAGTTTATTATGGAGATAAGTTACATGAACAAGATGACGTCACAGGCTTATTTGCTGATTCTGACGCATGAAGCTGCTGCCACACTCAGTCCTGCTGGCTGTGTTTAAGCCAGGGGTCACAGGTCAGACTCTACTTCAGTCTTCGTCACTACGGCAGGTTTCTGTGGCCTCTGAGGCCACATGATGCTGGAAGTCAAAGGTGGTTAGTTGCCATGGTAACCTGAAATGTCTCTAACAGCCCAGGCCGCTGATGGAGCCAATGCGGTCAATCTTCATCCCAAAACATCCTCTTCCTCCAAACATCGTCTTACGGCTCCGACCCCTTGTCTTGGTCTGCTGCTTCAAGAAGTCCAGGAGGAACCCAGGGCCTGGGCCCTGCCCACCCACCTGTCTGTTGATGTTGGTTCGGTTCAGAGTCGCTCCTTCAGAGGCAAGTTGGGTTGTCGCCTCATTGGCAGAGCCCTCTGTGATGTCATCAGAGGTGGGCTGAGCCATGATAAGGGAGGTGAGGTGCGAGCTGAAGAGAGAGCCTGACACCTGAAGGGTGAGAACAGGTAGGATCAGTACTCAGTTACTCTGATTACACAGATGTAGCGTACCAAAAGGACCAGAAGTTAACTGTAACCTGCAGACCAGACTTCATACAGGTCACTCTGACGCCCTGGTGCTGACATGAAGACATGAACTTGACCTGATATTCTTAACTCATCCTGCATACATCATGAGTCCTCAAGTATGCAAGAAGCAGGACTTCTCATCTTCTACTGTCTGAATGAAGCTAATCTCCCTGTCATAAATGACTTTAAAACTGTATTTTATCATATGTGGTTGATGAACATTCTGTTTAAATGCAGTGTTTTAATAATGTGTTTAATGCTCTACATCAGCGGTTTAGCCGCGCACCCCCTTCTATGTCCCGACCATGTTGATGCACCCCCCAGCCCCACGTCAGGGCATGGCTATATATATATATATATATATATATATATATATATGTATATGTATATGTATATGTATATGTATGTATCAGACGTCACGCTAAACCGGGGTCGGCAACCTGTTCCCATCAAAGAGCCATTATTACCCATTTCCTACAGTAAAGAAAACACTGGGAGCCACAGCAGCCACGGCGTTGTGGGCGGGGCCTACCCTCAGACAGCAGAGCACTGCTCACAACAGATGACAGCAGCTAGTACCGGTCGCTCGTGTACGTCAAAGTTATCTTTCATAAGACGATAATCAATAAAACGATTTATATAAAGTGGATCCAGAAGTTGTAGCCCGTCTCTGCTACAATATTTAGATATTTTTCACCCTGTTGGTGGTTTTACTGAGCAGGTGCCACTTTTGTCATACGTTTCTTTTTAAAACATGTTTAGACTGTTCAGAATACAAATCCAGGCTCTGTCACGTTTGATTGTTGTAATTAAACTTTGTAGGTGGGGAAGGTCAGAAAAGGATCCGATCATTTTGTTTTTCCCTCATTTACAGTGACGGAGATAACGGTGCAGTGCTCCTGGCTCTGGTGGTAATCAAGTTAAATTTTATCTCTTTTCACAAGAAACCAGAACAGTTAAAAGCAGGGCTTGTGTTGACCGGACAGTTCCCGTATTTGACCGTTTATTTTGACGGAGAAAGAATAGAAAGAATTACCCCGACGCATGCAGACGAACTGACACTTTATTCTACGCACATCGCAGATGTAGCTAAATCACTCAAGAAAAGATTCCCATCTGAACATCTGAGCTGGACACTGCTCAGCGCAGCTCGCTGTCAGCGTGTGCTACATAAGGTACACAGCGAGCTGAAGATGTGGAGAGGGGCTTGGAGCGCGTTGCAGAACCAGAGCGCATGCGGGAAGATTCCTCCCACTGAAGCGAGTGTTTTCCAAACCCTGTCTCTCAGAGAGACTTGTCACTTAGAAAATGTTCCCTGATGATGAAACTTTGGCTGAATAGCGCTTGTTCCTGTCTCCAATGTGGCGACACATCCAGGAGCCGTCTGAGGAGAATCCCAGAATCTCACATCCTCTTCAGCTCAGGAAGCGCCGATATGATTACGCACAAGCGTGACGCGTCAACCCGGTCTCACAGTAAGACCGGGTTGGAACTGTTCAGGTTTACGCAGACAATCTTTACATTTAGAATTGACATACAGATGTAAAATTAATGCAGTAAAATATAAAGCATTTTATTTAAATATCCATTCATTATTTTACAAGCACAGAGAGCCGCATCAGATGGATGGAAGAGCCGCATGCGGCTCCAGAGCCGCGGGTTGCCAACCCCTGAGCTAGGGCATGTGCGGAGGACACACACACACACACACACACACACACACACACACACACACACACACACACACACACACACACACAAGCAAAATACACTTGTTTTCAATTACATTTATTGTGCCCTCTTACGTTTTCTTAGGCCCACCCACAAATGAGTTTCTGGCTACGCTAATGGTGACATATGACAGACTTCTCTGAGCTCTGCAGCCATTACACTTTTCACCTCGCGCACCCCCTAGCGGCACCTCGCGCACCCCCAGGGATGCGCGCACCACACTTTGGGAGTCCCTGCTCTACATGAATGAATGAGGGGATTAACATGACTGCTATTGTAGAAATACTCTGATTATTGTCTGATTACTCTGAATATTGTCTAATTACTCTGATTATTGTCTGATTACTCTGATTACTCTGATTATTGTTTGGTTACTCATATTATTGTCTGGTTACTTTGAATATTGTCTAATTACTCTGATTATTTTCTGAATAATCTGATTATTGTTTGGTTACTCTGAAAAATGTCTGGTTACTCTGATTATTGTTTGGTTACTCTGAAAAATGTCTGGTTACTCTGATTATTGTTTGGTAACTCTGGTAATTACTTATTATTGTCTGATTACTCTGGTAATTTCCTCTAATGTCCATCTGAGATTAAGAAAGTTTCTTTGACTGATTGATTAATTGTCTGGTTACTCTGATTATTGTCTGGTTACTCTGATTAATGTCTGATTACTCTGATTATTGTCTGTTACTCTGATTAATGTCTGATTACTCTGATTATTGTCTGTTACTCTGATTATTGTCTGGTTACTCTGATTATTGTCTGATTACTCTGATTATTGTCTGGTTACTCTGATTATTGTCTGATTACTCTGATTATTGTCTGTTACTCTGATTATTGTCTGGTTACTCTGATTATTGTCTGGTTACTCTGATTATTGTCTGATTACTCTGATTATTGTCTGGTTACTCTGATTATTGTCTGATTACTCTGATTATTGTCTGTTACTCTGATTATTGTCTGGTTACTCTGATTATTGTCTGGTTACTGTGATTATTGTCTGATTACTCTGATTATTGTCTGGTTACTGTTATTATTGTCTGATTACTCTGATTATTGTCTGGTTACTCTGATTATTGTCTGGTTACTCTGATTATTGTCTGGTTACTCTGATTATTGTCTGATTACTCTGATTATTGTCTGGTTACTCTGATTATTGTCTGATTACTCTGATTATTGTCTGTTACTCTGATTATTGTCTGATTACTCTGATTATTGTCTGGTTACTCTGATTATTGTCTGGTTACTCTGATTATTGTCTGGTTACTCTGATTATTGTCTGGTTACTCTGATTATTGTCTGATTACTCTGATTATTGTCTGGTTACTCTGATTATTGTCTGATTACTCTGATTATTGTCTGTTACTCTGATTATTGTCTGGTTACTCTGATTATTGTCTGGTTACTCTGATTATTGTCTGAATACTCTGATTATTGTCTGGTTACTCTGATTATTGTCTGATTACTCTGATTATTGTCTGTTACTCTGATTATTGTCTGGTTACTCTGATTATTGTCTGATTGCTCTGATTATTGTCTGATTGCTCTGATTATTGTCTGATTACTCTGATTATTGTCTGTTACTCTGATTATTGTCTGGTTACTCTGATTACTGTCTAGTTACTCTGATTATTGTCTGATTACTCTGATTATTGTCTGATTACTCTGATTATTGTCTGATTACTCTGATTATTGTCTGGTTACTGTGATTATTGTCTGATTACTCTGATTATTTTCTGGTTACTCTGATTATTGTCTGATTACTGTGATTATTGTCTGATTACTCTGATTATTGTCTGATTACTCTGATTATTGTCTTATTACTCTGATTATTGTCTGATTACTGTGATTATTGTCTGTTTACTGTGATTATTGACTGATTACTCTGATTATTGTCTAATTACTCTGATTATTCTCTGGTTACTCTGATTACTGTCTAGTTACTCTGATTATTGTCTGATTACTCTGATTATTGTCTGATTACTCTGATTATTGTCTGTTACTCTGATTATTGTCTGATTACTCTGATTATTGTCTGATTACTGTGATTATTGTCTGATTACTCTGATTATTGTCTGATTACTCTGATTATTGTCTGATTACTCTGATTATTGTCTGATTACTGTGATTATTGTCTGTTTACTGTGATTATTGACTGATTACTCTGATTATTGTCTAATTACTCTGATCATTGTCTGGTTACTCTGATTACTGTCTAGTTACTCTGATTATTGTCTGATTACTCTGATCATTGTCTGATTACTCTGATTATTGTCTGGTTACTCTGATTATTGTCTGATTACTCTGATTATTGTCTGATTACTCTGATTATTGTCTGATTACTCTGATTATTGTCTGGTTACTCTGATTATTGTCTTATTACTCTGATTATTTTCTGGTTACTCTGAAAATATTCTGGTTACTCTGATTATTGTCTGATTACTCTGATTATTGTCTGATTACTCTGATTATTTTCTGATTACTGTGATTATTGTCTGTTTACTCTGATTACTGTCTGATTACTCTGATTATTGTCTGGTTACTCTGAAAATATTCTGGTTGCTCTGATTATTGTCTGATTACTGTGATTATTGTCTGTTTACGCTGATTACTGTCTGGTTACTCTGATTATTGTCTGGTTACTCTGATTATTGTCTGATTACTCTGATTATTGACTGATTACCCTGATTATTGTCTGGTTACTCTGATTATTGTCTGGTTACTCTGATTATTGTTTAGTTACTCTGAATATTGTCTGATTACTCTGATTATTGTCCGATTACTCTGGTAATTGTCTGATTACTCTGGTAATATTCTAATTTCTCTGAATACTGTCTAGTTACTCTGATTATTGTCTGGTTACTCTGATTATTGTTTGGTTACTCTGAATATTGTCTGATTACTCTGATTATTTTCTGGTTACTCTGAAAATATTTTGGTTACTCTGATTATTGTCTGATTACTCTGATTATTGTCTGATTACTCTGATTATTGTCTGATTACTCTGATTATTGTCTGGTTACTCTGATTATTGTCTGATTACTCTGATTATTGTCTGATTACTGTGATTATTGTCTGTTTACTCTGATTACTGTCTGAGTACTCTGATTATTGTCTGGTTACTCTGATTATTGTCTGGTTACTCTGATTATTGTCTGATTACTCTGATTATTTTCTGATTACTGTGATTATTGTCTGTTTACTCTGATTACTGTCTGGTTACTCTGATTATTGTCTGGTTACTCTGATTATTGTCTGATTACTGTGATTATTGTCTGTTTACTCTGATTACTGTCTGGTTACTCTGATTATTGTCTGGTTACTCTGATTATTGTCTGGTTACTGTGATTATTGTCTGATTACTCTGATTATTGTCTGATTACTCTGATTATTGTCTGATTACTCTGATTATTGTCTGATTACTGTGATTATTGTCTGTTTACTGTGATTATTGACTGATTACTCTGATTATTGTCTAATTACTCTGATTATTGTCTGGTTACTCTGATTACTGTCTAGTTACTCTGATTATTGTCTGATTACTCTGATTATTGTCTGATTACTCTGATTATTGTCTGTTACTCTGATTATTGTCTGATTACTCTGATTATTGTCTGATTACTGTGATTATTGTCTGATTACTCTGATTATTGTCTGATTACTCTGATTATTGTCTGATTACTCTGATTATTGTCTGATTACTGTGATTATTGTCTGTTTACTGTGATTATTGACTGATTACTCTGATTATTGTCTAATTACTCTGATTATTGTCTGGTTACTCTGATTACTGTCTAGTTACTCTGATTATTGTCTGATTACTCTGATTATTGTCTGATTACTCTGATTATTGTCTGGTTACTCTGATTATTGTCTGATTACTCTGATTATTGTCTGATTACTCTGATTATTGTCTGATTACTCTGATTATTGTCTGGTTACTCTGATTATTGTCTTATTACTCTGATTATTTTCTGGTTACTCTGAAAATATTCTGGTTACTCTGATTATTGTCTGATTACTCTGATTATTGTCTGATTACTCTGATTATTTTCTGATTACTGTGATTATTGTCTGTTTACTCTGATTACTGTCTGATTACTCTGATTATTGTCTGGTTACTCTGAAAATATTCTGGTTGCTCTGATTATTGTCTGATTACTGTGATTATTGTCTGTTTACGCTGATTACTGTCTGGTTACTCTGATTATTGTCTGGTTACTCTGATTATTGTCTGATTACTCTGATTATTGACTGATTACCCTGATTATTGTCTGGTTACTCTGATTATTGTCTGGTTACTCTGATTATTGTTTAGTTACACTGAATATTGTCTGATTACTCTGATTATTGTCCGATTACTCTGGTAATTGTCTGATTACTCTGGTAATATTCTAATTTCTCTGAATACTGTCTAGTTACTCTGATTATTGTCTGGTTACTCTGATTATTGTTTGGTTACTCTGAATATTGTCTGATTACTCTGATTATTTTCTGGTTACTCTGAAAATATTTTGGTTACTCTGATTATTGTCTGATTACTCTGATTATTGTCTGATTACTCTGATTATTGTCTGATTACTCTGATTATTGTCTGGTTACTCTGATTATTGTCTGATTACTCTGATTATTGTCTGATTACTGTGATAATTGTCTGTTTACTCTGATTACTGTCTGATTACTCTGATTATTGTCTGGTTACTCTGATTATTGTCTGGTTACTCTGATTATTGTCTGATTACTCTGATTATTTTCTGATTACTGTGATTATTGTCTGTTTACTCTGATTACTGTCTGGTTACTCTGATTATTGTCTGGTTACTCTGATTATTGTCTGATTACTGTGATTATTGTCTGTTTACTCTGATTACTGTCTGGTTACTCTGATTATTGTCTGGTTACTCTGATTATTGTCTGGTTACTCTGATTATTGTCTGATTACTGTGATTATTGTCTGTTTACTCTGATTACTGTCTGGTTAGTCTGATTATTGTCTGATTACTCTGATTATTGACTGATTACTCTCATTATTGTCTGATTACTCTGATTATTGTCTGGTTACTCTGATTATTGTCTGGTTACTCTGATTATTGTTTAGTTACTCTGATTATTGTCTGATTACTCTGATTATTGTCCGATTACTCTGGTAATTGTCTGATTACTCTGGTAATATTCTAATTTCTCTGATTACTGTCTAGTTACTCTGATTATTGTCTGATTACTCTGATTATTGTCTGATTACTCTGATTATTGTCTGATTACTCTGATTCTTGTCTGGTTACTCTGATTATTGTCTGATTACTCTGATTATTGTCTGATTACTGTGATTATTGTCTGTTTACTCTGATTACTGTCTGGTTACTCTGATTATTGTCTGGTTACTCTGATTATTGTCTGATTACTCTGATTATTGACTGATTACTCTGATTACTGTCTGGTTACTCTGATTATTGTCTGGTTACTCTGATTATTGTCTGATTACTCTGATTATTGTCTGATTACTCTGATTATTGACTGATTACTCTGATTATTGTCTGATTACTCTGATTATTGACTGATTACTCTGATTATTGTGTGATTACTCTGATTATTGTCTGATTACTCTAATTTTTCTAGTAATGGTCACACGGTTTACGTGATTAGTCTGATTACCCTAACTACTGCTACTGGTGTTAACCACAGACGAGTACCTTCAGAGTAACCCTAGAAGACAGGTGTTTCACCCTTACACATGAAAACACCACCTGACCCAAAAAGCAGCCAATCACCTGACAGATGTAAATGAAGAAGAAAACAGCCTGAAAACACCTGATGATGTCATATCAGGGATGGGTTAGGGGTAGGCTTAGCACACAGACCACAGACCTGCTTTCCATCCCTGTGAGGTGACGGTCTCATCTCCACGGTGACCGAGAAGAAGAAGAGGAGGATCAGAGCAGCAGAAGAAGAGGGAGCCATCTTGGTTTGGAGAAGAAAACATGATCAGTAAACTAAATGCATCACCATGGCAACAGACTGACCTGAGGTCCAATGACTGACGGACGATTACTGATTAATAAGTAATGATTATGGATCACTGGTGAATTCCGAGTTTGGAGTTACTTTAATGAGCAGATACACGTAAAACAGCAGGACGTGTCCACAGAGGTCCGTGGACACGCCCTGCCTCTACACAAAAGAGCTCGTGGAGCTGAGGAGCTTCAGAAACCCACCAGACTATGGGCCGAGAGAGGACGAGATGACAAATGTCCAGCTGTGTGTTTCAGACGAAAAGAAACCAGTAAAGGAGACTTCAGCTGTGACGGGAAGGACAGATCTGTACTGGGCCTCCTCATCTCCTCCCTGGCTAGCAAACCTCTGCCTGAGGAGGCTGAATGGTCTCATGTGAAACAGCGTCTCTCTGGTAGAGACCAGTGGAGCGTCAGGCTAGAAGGTCCTGAGGAGAGGTGAGGCCAGCTGGGAGGACCACTGGGACCCTCAATAACAAACTAAACTGGTCCCACAGCACAGATGCTCTGTACAAGAAAGGCGTCCACCTCCTGAGGAGGCTGAGGTCCTTTGGAGTGAATTCCCAGCTGCTCAGATCCTTTCATCACTCTGTGGTTGGTGCTGTTATCCACTCTGATGGTCTGTTGGGGGGCAGGCAGCTCCGACCGAGACAGGAAGAGACTGAACAAGCTAGTTCACAAAGCTAGCTCGGTTCTGGGCTGCCCTCCGGATTCAGTTGAGGAGACGTGTGAAAGGAGGATGCTGGGGAAGATGACCTCCATCTTAACAAACCCCTCCCACCCACTGCTTCCACTGTGACCATGGACAGGTCCCTTCAACAAGGATGTCCAGAGTAACAACAGCACCAAGTCCGCCTGAGATGTCTCAGAGTCCCCGAAAAGCTGCGGTGGTCTGTTTCACATGTATGAGTCAGACTGGACATGCGCTCCAGATGTCTGTACCTCTGTGGTTCCTGGTGGACGTTTCATTCCAGATCTCCATGACAACCTTCTGACTGAATGAATGTTTCATAGATATCTGACATGTCCTGGGACAAACCTCTTCTTCTTCTTCTTCTTCATAATAATAATAACAATAATAATAATAATAATAATAATAAAATGTCATTAATGTGAATAATAATAATAATAATAATAATAATAATAATAAAATGTCATTAATATGAATAATAATAATAATAATAATAATAATAATAATAAAATGTCATTAATAATAATAATAATAATAATAATAATAATAATAATAAAATGTCATTAATATGAATAATAATAATCATAATAATACAATTATTAATATTATTATAATAAATAGCAATCTAATGGTGGCCTGAGGATCAGGTCTCTGCTTTTTGCAGATGATGTGGTCCTGTTGGCTTCATCAGAACGTGATCTTCAGCTTTCGCTGGAGCGGTTCACAGCTGAGTGTGAAGCAGCTGGGATGAGAATCAGCTCCTCTAAATCTGAGACCATGGTCTTGATTCAGAAAAGGGTAGAATGCCTTCTCCAATCCGTCTATCGAGCGTGAGATCGATAGGTGGATTGGTGCTGCGTCTGCAGTGATGCAGGCGTTGTACCGGTCTGTCGTGGTGAAGAGAGAGCTGAGTCAGAAGGTGAAGCTCTTGATTTACCGGTCGGTCTACGTTCCTACCCTCAACCCTTAGAGATAGGGTGAGAAGCTCGGTCATCCGGGAGGGGCTCGGAGTAGACCCGCTGCTCCTCCACATCGAGAGGAGCCAGTTGAGGTGGCTCGGGCATCTGGTCAGGATGCCTCCTGGACGCCTCCCTGGTGAGGTTTTCCAGGCACGTCCAACCGGGAGGAGACCTAAAGGTAGACCCAGGACACGGTGGAGGGACTATGTCTCTCACCTGGGCAGGGAACGCTTTGGGATTCCCCCGGAGGAGCTGGCCCAAGTGGCTGGGGAGAGGGAAGTCTGGGCCTCTCTGCTTAGGCTACTGCCCCCACGACCCGACTCCGGATAAGTGGATGAAACTGGATGGATGGATGGATGGATGGATGGATGGATGGATGGATGGATAAATAGCAGCACTCACCTGTAGAAGCTTCAATCAGCTGGTTGTCGTCCAAGTAAAGTCAAAGGCCTTAATGCCGGGTCCTGGTCCTGGTTCTAGTTCTACTTCTGGTTCTGCCCTGCAGTTTCAGAACGGGTCGAGTCCAGGACCCAGCTGAGGAGACTCACTTTTATACGACTCAGTGCTGTGAGGTCACACATTCTTCAGGTCCTTCCTGTCCTCTTGCTGTCACCATGACTATACACACACACACACACACACACACACACACACACA